AACCTGTTGTGTAAACCTATCCTTAGATGGGCAAAGGAATACTTAATACAAAATTACACGAATAACGAAGGGGTTTGATTGATGCAATCGTTTTAAAAAGTTTCAATCAATATTAAAACATAATAATTATAGTTATATGTATATATGATTATAAAGGTATACTGATACAGTCTAAATTAATGTTTAATTTGCTATATTATATCGTAGTCAATATTGAAACATATTATATTTATAATCGTGTAATATAGACTGATTAAATAATGTTTATAAAAAAAAACTTTGCGATTTGAATTGAAACGTGACAAAGCAATGTGTTCTTATGTCTGGTTAACATGGTTTCTTTATCGAAAATGAGCGGAAAATCCTTAAGTGCAACATGTTTCTGCGTCATATAAAAAAACCAGTATCGGCGCCAATATTCCATTCAACCCCTCAATCGCTGCGTCATCGGCTAAGCACGTGTGTTTTTATTCTTTTTAGCATGTCTGGCAAACAACCGCATAGCAACAGCATCGTTATAAGATCTGTGTAGCAATGCTTTTTTTACCTTTAGTATTTTAAATGCTTATCTTATTTAATTACAACCGTTTACCGCCTCAACAATTTACCATTTTATATAGCTTATTTTTTCTTTTGCGATTAAGTTGTATCCATCTACATACATACAAACAATAAGAAACTAAAAAATATATACATGCAACACGGAATTTAATTTTATTTTGTAAATTGTAGTTATTATTAGATATTTAATGTAAGCAAGAATTATTTTTAAAAAACTTAATGCCGCAATCAAAAAATATATATTTTTATTCAATTATGTGTTCTATCTTATAAGTTACAACCTCCTTTTTTCTTTACATTAGTCCTGTAAGGGTTTACATTGTCAGTAAAGAATTCAAGAGTACTTTTTTACCTATCTTTTCATACACTTTGAGGACCATGATTTCTTCTTCATTGACAAATGCTGATGAAGGAACAGCAGGCCCGAGTTACTACCCGATGGTCCGAAAATAAGTTCAGTTATTGGGGAAAGTCTTCTTTTATTGGCTACGATTTAATCCTATGTAAATTGGACTAACTTTGGTAACATCAAGACTGAAGTAAATAACATAAAATTAAATACAATAAACTATTTGTATCGCAAAATTGAACTAATAAACAAGACTACATATACTAGAGTATTAAAAGTTTCAAAGAAATATATGTATAGAGTGATTTTCGGGTATACTCTACGATTTATAACATTATTTCATATTTTACCCAACGTTATGAAACTTAATAGGAACTGTGATTACTGACAAACAAATTGAAAATATATCCGAATATCATAGTTTTATTTAATAGTGTACTTATATCTTCTTCTACCTGGCAATTTCCCAGCTATAGCCAGGGTCTGCCTTACATGTTATGAATAGTTTTTGGCTATTTGTTTTTACGACCGGCCGCCTACCTGACATCAACCCTCTTTTGGGAATCAACATTAATCAGTGATGTTTAAAAACTCTTAGAAAGTACATATGATTCCGAAAAATCAGGATCGAACCCTCGCCCTCGGCGACGAGCGGCCGAGAGGCGGGCCCTTTAACCACTGAGCCACCACTGACTTAATAGTGTACTTATATATCATTATTAAAAGTTTTTGCTTATTTCTTTTAGAATTTGATTAAATATATATTTAAAACTATTCTCTTTCTTATTAGAAGATTATCTGAAATATTGAAGGTACGAGTAATTCTCTAATAAAGTTATAAATTGATATCTTGGGAATTTCTATAAAATTACAATTTATTATTTTACGGCTTACTAAAATTTAATTTAAATCTGGAATTGGATCCGTTTATTTTTCAGGGACATTGAGATTGCAATTATTATTTCCGTGTAAACACATTACCCCTTAACATATTTTACATCTTATAAATTAATTAGTAAATAGGAAAATAGCTGACACCAAACACAGTGAATGATTAAATTCATTAAAAATATCACAATCAAAAAACTAACAACTATACTATTTTACAAATAATAATACCAGATTCAATAGTTTGTCAACATACAAAGAAAATTTTAAACATTGAGTGTACAGGCTATTGGAGTAATAAAGTAGTTGGAAAGCAACTAGTGGACGACTCTTCATCAGATATTAATCGTGGAAACTGTGTCGTTGTACGTCTCTGAGTAAAAGTACTTTCTTCTCGCCGCTTTCGGAAAGTAGTCTAGAACGAATTTCCTCACTGCAGTAACCTTGTGTGATGTGACATAAGTTGTTTGCTCGTACTCACTATAATTAGAACTCTCAGTCGTTTTATTATTATTCTGAGAAACTGTTATTGATGTGTCTCAGTGTGAGAATTATATCAAGCTCTTTTGCTTATAGAAGACGCATTTTTGATAAAAACTTATGTATATTACCTGATCAAAAATTAAGGAATTGTTCATGAAAATTGGTATATTTTTTTAATTATAGACTTTTAAGTTAATGATTATAAAAAAGGAACAAGAACATTCTAATGATTTTTGACGTTTATGGGTTAGTAAACGTATTAAATAAATAAGTTCTAGAGTAAACAAACAGCGTTTTCTAATGCAATTACTGTTAATATTGCTTGCTGTATAAGCCATGGCAGGTCTTGAGTGAGTCTTGGGGGTCATCTGAGATCCACGCTTTGTTATTGTATGCCAACGTTATTGCTAAGCAAGTGTGCCACTTTTAGATACGCCTGTCAATATCAACGTGGTACATGCAACAAGTCACAATATAACATTTTCGTATGTGGGATAAGTACTATAAAGGAGGGCATTAGACTTTTGTGATTAAATATTTTTTTTTTTGGATAATCATATTGCTTTATGTTCGTTAAAATTTAAAAATAAAATCTATGATTCACACCGATTTGACGCATAGGTATAATTTTTCTATCCAGGTTTTTCCCTATTCCACAAATAAGGGCCTCGCAATTCGATTTAATGATTAATATCTAGCTAATACTAGTACCTTGTATATAATTCTTGAACCAAGTCATAAAATAAATTTATTGTAATATTTACGTCTATATAATTATTATCCAAAGACAAATATTGTCAAAATATAAAGCTGTACTGTTTTGTCTTCAGTGATTTGTGGTTTATATTTTGCAGGGAATGTAGAAATAAAAGTCTATTCGTCTTTCAATAGATACTTATTATTTCATAAAATCATCCCATAACAGATTCGAGGAATATAAAGTTTTTGACTGAGTTTACTTTTTGAAGAACGAAGAAAGAAAATATTTTATCGAATAGGGTTCTGTAGTAAGTTTTCACCTTTAAAAATAAATTATTTTAAATTTTATACTATCAGCAATTGTTTCCTCTATCCAAAAATTTACATTTTATTGGTCTTCATTGTAATAAAATGAAATCAAAGATCTCTTAGTTTATATTCAGATTGACAATATAAAGTTTTTCACAATAAACTTTTTCGCAAACTATATAAGTTCTTTGAAAATATTTGATCAGTATATGAAATTTTCAATATTTTTTCATTAACATATAAACATTGATTATTATTATGTGATAAGTATTATGAATGAAAAACTAGCAACTGTATTTTTTAGCTTATAGTTTCGTGTAAAGAGTGTAGTAGTATAATGTTATATTGTTAAGTATCTATCAGTATCTGATATTACGATAAAGAAAATAAAATTCTTGGATTTAATTACTATACTTAAAATTTGGGAATTACATCAATGTAGTCCATAATTTTACAGTACCAATTTTCACGAAAAAAAGAAATAACTGTTGAAAAGATAATAAATAAATAGATCTATTATAAAGATACTAAATAAAAATTTGGTAGAGACCAGAGGGCTGCCTTTATTTGCCAGATTGTCTATTTTGTCTTTTTTTTCTGTTCCATTCTTTCTTTATATAGTGTACTGTTTAATAAAGTGAAAGAAATTATTAGTTACATTTATAGTTATAACAAAAAAAATAAGTTATCTTTTCTTTTTCTATAGATTACCTAAGAACTATTATGTTCTAACATCGTTAAAGTGGCCAATTAGCCATCCTGTTATTTCAATTTCAATGAAATCGATTGATGAAATTAGAAAACTCGGAAAATGGGAATGTTGTTCGAAACTTTCAAATGGTTGCAGCAATTATCTTTTGACACACCTCAAAAGTACCAATAAACTAAATAAAAATAAGCGTTCTCTCTTGAACTCGTTTAGAACAATAGTAGTCTAAATCCCCCATGCCATCTACATTATGTACCTTGCATATCACTAAAATCCCTGTTACAATTTTCTTTTCTTTATTCATAAAAGGTAACTTTAATTTTTCGTACTGCATTTATAAAAGTTTTTATTATATTTATGTGAATGTAATTACAAATATCACATCTCGGTAACACTTCAGACAACAAAGAACCCGTTACTCAATGACCATAAAAGACTCCGAAAAATTTTGTGTTTTATGTGTACACCCAGAAGAAACTGTTTTAACTCTTCCAAGAACAGCCGTATATTTTATTACTTATGGAGCCTTTCCGGGCACGTGTTAAAATAGGTCGAAGGTTTGTCAGCTATAAATACAATCATATCCCATAAATCACTATATTTTTCACGCAATTTTAGTCCTAATGAAATAACAAATTGATGTCAATTCATTTTGCCCCTATAACTCTCTTTTAGCGCTTTGCTGTCAATTAACAAATATTTTTAACTTAAGATTGTATAAATGGAAAGCCAATCCAAATAGTACCTCGACTGTACATAATTTAAAGTCTGTTCTTCATATTTATAACATGTCTATTATGGCATTAAAGGAATACTAATGGTATTATGAATCGAACATCAATGCACAACAAAGCCGGCGCTTGCGCATACATACGTACAGTTCCGTGCACAGACTCTCTACTCCGAGGCAAATTTCGCCGCTCTCGCCCACTGATCTACATTTCACCTCCAATATAGGTCAATAACTGCCTACGTTTAGCCCCTCCGAGCGCGGTCATTCACCTCGCCAATCCAAATCATTGTTCGCCAAATATAAAGCGATGCCGGTCAATAACCTCGCAAATGCTGCGGCTGCTGTCCAAGCGCGATTCTTCATCTTGAAATGACAATTACACCAAATAGCTTTTAACAATGGCATTTGCATTGAAATAAACAGCTCAAAAGCGCTTTAATTATAAACTAAACATAAAATCATAGCGGGGTGAAAGTTGTCACATGTTGGTCCTTTTTCATTTTATTGGTATAATAAATCTACTTAATAGAATTTTTACATAAGATAAGCTATGTAAATCTGATATAAAAATATTTTCTAGAAAACTTTTTGTTTCGCCATGGCAAAAACTAGTTTGAAAGCAATCTTTTATGCCTATAATATAATTGGAGAGACGTTGCTGCTTGACCGGATTGCAACAAATTTCGCCGATGACCTACCAAATTGACTCTTTCTATTGACATCTATTAAACTTTTCGTCAAAGTTTCAATCAACTTAATTTCCAATCCATCATTTTAGGACATTCATTAGTTTCTGTATATAGCTATAAGCTCAAAAAGAAAATACACCAAAAAGGACAATTTAGAATAAACCAAAAAGTTTCACTATTATACTTGGTCCAGTATACGTTGCAATACTTGGTGTTAATTTTACTTAACCAATTATTGCAAAAACATTTTTATGGACTCCATATGACGCATGGTATGTCATACAAACAGTTGAAGTTAACCAAATATTTGGCTGAAGGAAAGTGGCGCGCTGAACGGGCGAACGCGCCTCTTCCACTTAAAGTGTCACGTTGAACTCTTACATAAGGACCCAGTATGCTTTCGAAAATGTTATCAGATTATTTTGGTAATTTCTTCAAACAATAAGAAAGCGGCCCGTAAATATATAACATAATCCAATAAATTAGAATGCAAGCAACAGTTTATGCATCAACACTGTTATGTGCCAGATATTAAATAAGTATCCGGTGATGTTTATGTACATGATAGACAGGTTGTAACATTGCCCAGGGGCCATGGAGAAACATTTCGCTTGCTCTGAATGTAGCAAGTTCGAAGGCGATGACTTCTCGTGACCGCGTCCTCCTTACAGCTTTATCTCGCCAAATTTCTCTCTTCTGTGCCGTATCATAATATACCAAACAGCTCGTCACTAACAGAACCATGAGTTGACTACAGCAATTAAATTTTTATAATACAGTTATAGCAAAATGGCGAATCTAATGATCTATGATTGTACTCGTAAATTAATACGGCTGTCGTAAATATAAGTTGCCAACAGGGACTAGTTTATAAGTTTATTATAAATTAATATAATAAAAAAACACTTCGAATATCGTATCTCATATTCAATATTAAATTATATTAATTGGAGGAAAGTTTTTAAAAACAAGATTGTATTAAATGAAACATCTGGCTGAAATAAGAAAATACTTATCCAATTTTTTACATATTCAATAGAAAGTCATAAATAACTTAAGATTCTTAAAATGACATTAATGTACAAAGTCCTTAATTTGACAATAAAATAAAGTATTAGTAGATGCCGTTAAAGAAATGATCCAAAGAAATTTGACTTTAAAAATATTATAAATAAAAGCATTTAATAGTTGAGAAAAATTTAAATAACTTGCAAATCTCTGGCTATTTAGTTTCACAGCGGATTAGCACAGATTTTGCTTCGAAAGTTGTTAACAACTTCGTGAAAGCATTGTCATGTCTACTACCAGAGTCAACTTCTGTACTGATGTGAATGGAAAGCCTTATATCGATTGTATTATGAAAGTATTATTAGAAAATTATAAACAATTATACATATATCTAAACTTATATATATTTGGCTAACATTTGGTACAATGTACTTGTATTCAGTATAGAAGTATGAATAAGAATTTGATTTTTATGGGTTCAAACCCAATAAATAACTGGACAGATTAGAAAATACTTATAAATAAAAATATTCAATCAAAAGAATATAAAAAATATATTTTACACAAAAATTTTGCCCTATGTCAAAAATAAATATATTAAATCTGTTCCATTTAGATTCTGAAAAAAGAACCCTAGGCGTAATCAGTAACATGTAATAGTTCCGTTTATTAAACTAATATTTGGTATCAGATAGTTGTATTCTAGTCTAGGAGTAGATATAAGAATTAATTTTTTATCGGTTCAAACACAATACATAACAGGAAAGATTTATTAAACAAAGTATGCCTTTAAAAAAATATGTAAATTATATTTAGGAAACAGTTTTACCCTATGTTAAAAAAAAATCTGTACGTATTGGATTCTGTAAAAGGAATTCTAGTCGTAATCCGTTAAATGTAATTGTTCCGTTTGTAACATAAAGAAAATAAATAAAGAACAAAAAAATTAATGCAACCTCCACGTACGGTGCAATACCGATGGCGGCGCTGCCGCTTGCTGAATGGACATGCCGAACAAATCAGTACCACGGAGTTAAATGTCGCGTATACGGCCTCCGCACTCACAAACGGCCTTTGCAGTTAAGTGCGGTCGACGACCCTACTTGGGGTCGATGACCAAGCCCACATTTAATTTTCACTTTCGTTCACTAAGGATAACTGTACCAAACGAATACGTCAATCGCAAACTCACAATTTCCGAAGAAGATGCTTCTCCGTCCTTAGATAATCAGAGATCGGAGATACTCGTACAAAACCTAGCAACAACCAATGTCAATAAATCATAACAATAATCTCGCGATCCTTTGACAACATTACAACATCGCATGTGAAATATCGTATGATGAAATATAAGTTACCGAAACTAGCATGTAAATAACCGAATTTATTTAACCCGAGAAATATTAATCTTAATAAGTATATTCAAAACATTCTAGCTATGTTTGTCCTTAGCTGAGGTTGTTGCTCTAAAGGCGATGTCGTAACTCGGGCGCTAAACCGGTGTCCTTTTGATGCATTTTTGGTACAATTAGGTAATTTTTAGCTATGGTGGGGGAGCAGATGAAAAGGTGTGGTGCGTGGGGTTGCGGGTTTTGGTGGTGGTTGCGCAAGAGCGGTCGTCGACTCGGTTATGTCAGAGGTTTACGTAACCGTCACCTCGCAACGTTCTCGGGCAGGCGCCAATTGTAGCCCCGCTAGCGTTTCGCACTTCTGACTGACTATTTGCGGACGACCGCAGCTTGTTAGCTATTCAATACTCTGTAAATTACTGATTACATTGTAGGTGTATTGTTAATTTCATTTAATAACATTTAGTTTTATTGCTGTGCTGACATTCTTCGTCAGGGTAGTCAGTAATTCTCATAATTCGTTCACCTTCACACATTGCGTAAGCATGACTAGATTCCTATTAAGTTCAACCTATCATGAAACGATTGGCGTTTACATTAAAATCGTCCATTGTGTCAGCTTAAGAATGGATGTGCCCTTAAGGAGTAATTATATGATTGTTTGAAACGGAGAAGGGGCTGAAGCGGTTGCGTCAGAGCACGGAGAGCGGGCAGGCTCAACGCACAAGGTTGCAGAGGTTCAATGCTCTAGAAATATGAGATTCGACCCCGGGCACCCAAACGTATGCGACTTACTGTCGCTGCCCGCCGGACCTGCGCACTGAGTTATGCGCGCGCGCAACTGCGTAGTCTACGCGACTACGTCTCGTAGACCAAATCTATTTTAACCCTATCGATACTTTAATTTCATTAAAAAATCACATTAATTAAAATACTATTGAAACTTGGAAATATATTGGAAATAAATACCACCTCTAAATATTTGTTTTCATTTTAATTACCTCTCTTTTTTAAAGGCTAACAATCTAACGATGTATTTATATAAACATTTTCTATGACAAGCGATGGAGCTGTAACTGAATATTTTCTAAATACAGTTATGTACGTCGTCTATTTAAACTAGGTCTTCCAAATTATGACAGTTTTGTTTTAACGATACACACACGCACAACTCTACCGTATAACCTTCAAAAGAGAGAACGTGGTGCCGTAAGCACGTCCAATGTACCAACTCTTTTTATGTAGCCGTTTCGCAATTTTTATAAATTATTTGCCTTCGACCTTTGTAAGCTGCCCAAATCAGCTCGATTGGTATTCCCGTTGCGGATTGTGCTTTTCGTAACCAGTGTTTCAGTGCGTGCAAACGTAACGTGAGACACATACAGTCAAGCAAACTTAAAACATCGCATACGGTGTACAAATAATTCATTCATTACTACAACTATAAATTATATATGGCTAAAAGTGGATTCAACAACATAATTACTACTGACCTTTTAGGTTGTTTTTCTTTTTCAGTTTGTTGAATTTATCGTCTACTATCATTTAAGACTGTTGAAAATTATTAGTTATGTAATTTTTGATTATAAAACCTATATATTTTACAATGCCATATATTTTAAAGTAAACTAAGAAGGCCTATAAAATTCAATTCAAAAATTAGTATATGAATTATCATATTGGGAGGTAAATCATCTTAACCTTATATTTGTTTGAGCAACTGGCTATTTATTTTGCAGTATTGCATTAGCACAATACGCATAACCTTTTAGACTTATCTTAAATATAGTTCACTGAACTTAACACAAGGCTACTCTAAAAGCAATTTTAAAGACATCCACAACGTAGTCAAAATTTGATAACTACTTAAAATATTATACAAAAACATGCAATGAAACAATTTATATCCATTATTGTTTTATTTATAAAAAAGACTAGTTTGATGAATGTAAGTGATCAGAAATAAAAGAAAAATGTAAATATATATATATGTATATATGTTCTATGTAAGTATATATTTGTGTAAATAAACATGATATCAAATTTGGCTTAGAGCAATTGACTTCATATAACATTTAATTTATAGTAAATAAGCACTCAGTAGATTACATATAAACAGAGCTAGTTATAATTCCAACTGTAGGTTCATGAAATGACTCACTGAATACATACTTGCTTGTAAATTAAAAGTTTTCAATATTTAAATTATTAGTTATGCTGAATTATATTATTATTGGTACATATGATAATTATACATTTACATAATCTTCTAAATACCTCATTGGATGTTAATCGTCATAAATTCTGAATGCCTTAA